ATTTTACACAGCAAAAGCATCTAAATAAATGTGTTAATTTTTTTTTTACAGGCGTTAGTCGCCCAGATATGTATATAGATTGTTGTTGTTATTGTTTATTTTGTAATATACGTTTAGTAGCATAACACTTTACTAAAATATTAATATAACATAATGTTATCCAACTACCTAATTAGGCCAATGCTAACTTTTAATAACACTGAATAAAGCCAGTGACAGATGTCATAAGTATCAGATTGAGATCAGAATTTATGCAGTTGATCTTCAATGTAAAACTTTATAACTGAGTAGTTTTCTAAAAATTGTTAACTTAACAAACAATGAAACTATTTTACTAGATACTGCATTATTTCTGTCATTTTTCTAAATAAACCTAAAAGATTAAAAAAGTTAATGAGGGTACGTGTTGGTTAGAATAAAAACTCACATATATGGGTCTCACATAAATTTATTTCTCCATATACATATGTATAATTTTGCGAATCCACTGTGTCCCGAGACGCAGCGCGGGAATTTTACAAAATAATTGTCGTCTACAAACTTCTACAATTATTACATTCACACATCGCCCCGCCAGCCATATTGCGTCCGCCATTTTAATTGCACTAAAAAAATGATTTAAAGCTAGGGCGTTTCACATCATCGACTGGATTTCAATCGATCGATATTTCTAGAAAATTAACAATTACGTAGACGGCGACAGGATGCAAAATTAACTATTGCGCTCAATAAATGCGAGAAAAATAAGCAATTTGTTATCTGGGACAGTGTCGATTGGAGTTATTATTAATTTAAATGTCTACAGTTCGCGAAGGAATTAAGTATTTTGGGATTGAGTTAATTAACAAAGTTTTGTGATTAAGTGATGGATCATTTCCTTTTTTTATAATAAGTAAATGTTTTTGAATATTCATTTTATTGTTGTGATGATTAAAGTATTCATTTTTTTTAACAAGCAACACTTCCCCAGATATTAACAATGTGACCAACAAACTTTAAAAATTAAAAACTAAAATTACAATAATCAATAAACATGTACAAAAATTACATTAGAATTATAATTGAGAAATACAAATTACATCATAGTAAAATACACAAGGAAATTAATTAAGAACACATAAAATTAGTTGGTAAAAAATCAGTCTTAACATACCGAACATATAGGTTAGTCATGATTTTATCAATGAAATGATGTGTGATATTAAAAATCAGCAGATTTGTACAAAATAATGGAATAAACAGCACCTTGATATGGCATAACGTATTTAGCACGTAAACGTACTTAATATTTGAACTACATTTACTTAAGTAAGGACCATGCGCATTTTAACTAAGTTTTGAGTCCTAACAAATTTTGATAAGTAATAGGAACTAAAAACAAAACAAAATTGAATATAAGGTTTTTGATTTAAGTAGTTGGTCAAGAAACTAGCGGTATCGGAGTACCTATAGCGCATGGCGTAAGAGTTTACATATTCCCTAATGGCAGAATGATACAACACCTAAGCATAAGAATAAATGTGATGAGTGTAAAAAAAAAACAACTGTACAAGAAGAGATCCTAATGTGCGTTCGGATACGTTTTACGAATGAATGAGCCAGTACTGTCGACACGTTGAATAAATAGATAAGAAATAGACGGACATCTAAAATAAAAGAATGATAGATAGCAAATCCAGTAATCATACGTTTTAATTTTTTGCTATTCATTTTAATGCAGTGGCTATTTTAAGCAAATTGAGAAGCCCATGCCCACTAGCGTGTAAATGTTTCGAACCTCGCTAAATACATGATTCATCAACGAGTATTAAATTTTCACTATAACCTCAATTTAACAATTATTCTCATTAACTCTACGTACATTTCGTATTTTATTGTATTCTTTATTTTACTTTTCATTACAGCTAAGTGAAACGATTGGCAGTTACGTATGTCCGCGGCCGATGTCCGGCCGAATCAAAACGTATGTAATTTAATATTAGTTTCCTTAGATGAGTCACTTTTTAAATTGTTCGCATATCTACCTGTAACTTCGAAAATTGCGTCAACCTCTTTATATTCTCTAAGTTTCATACAAGCTCAAATTTAACTTATACGTAGGTAGATCGATATAAGTAGTAAGTATATTGTATAAAACGAGTGAAAAACGTAAAAATCTTATACACTTACTATGCAAGGGGATTAAGGTAAAAGATTAAATAACATACTACACTTAAAGATAGCTTAAAATAGTGTTAGGGTCGTGGCAGTCGCGTTTGATACATTCGGATGACTTTCTTGTCGTACTTTATTTTTCACGCTCTTTAATGAGAAGCATAAACAAACTTGGGATAAAAGCTGCAGGAAATTTAAAACTTTTATTTAATGAAATATTTAAATATTTCCGTTTTACGCTTTTTCTTTACTACTCTCAATTCATTTCACCAGTGTACATAACACCATACATATAGTTACACGATTCAAAAAACAAATTGAATCGTCTTTCTCTTACTACTATCATTACCACACCAAACATATTTATCTAACTACATATAGATATGTCATCGAATCACGATCATCCTCTAGAAGCAAGCACTGGATGTTCAAAGAAAACAGAAACTAACAACTGGGTTATAAAGCTGACTATAGTCTGTCGTTTTTACAAAAAAAAAAAACTTTATTGTTGACATCTTTAGCGTGTGTTACGTTATGGATGAGTATGACGTCAAAACTAATGTATAGCTACATTTTTTTAAAATAAGTTGAAGAATATTTATTTAAAGTGAAGAGCATAACACATGATAAATATGCCATCAACCACCTTTGGTTATTACATAAACATGATTCGTTGGTTTATTGGGCGGGATTATAACACAAAGTTATGGTAAACAAATGCAAATATTTACATAACATTATGTACCTACGCACAGGACAGACACAGAAAATCCACACGACACAGCCGATTCGTCTATAAGTTTTCATATAATATTGCAATAATGAAACGTATTACCACAATTTACACTACTTAAACATATTTCAACACCCGATATGAAAAATAAACTTCTAATTACAGCTGCAATAACTATTTATACATTTTATAATATCATGTTTGTATATATGTGACGATCAGAATTGAATATCATATCGCATAAAGTTATTTAAGTCTCTAAGCGCACTGTTCATTCTCTAAAGTTACTTTATATTTCGTTCGCAAATTATATTTTTACGGCGTAACCATTATACCGATCATTAAATACTCTTCAAAATTTTTCGTTAATATAAATGCATCTAAGTATAATTTAACTGTTTATATGGACTTTAACATTTAAACTGTTCCGTTTTAGAGACAAAAATAGCACGAACAGCTGCGACAAAGGCAAAAATATGTTTAGTTTGCGTTAGAACAACATGTCACAGAACTCTTAGAGAAATAGCATAATGTCTCCGTATTGATACATTTTACACAGTATTAGTCAATAGATGTGTTCTTAAAGCTTACCAAACATATCTTTCTCTTGGTATTTATCATAAGTTAGATAATAGGATAATAATTAATTACATTTATTACCCTTCCGACTCACAATCATGATTTTAAGTGGTCACAATCGTAAAATACAAGTCATAAGTAGCTTTCCTAGGCACTCGTACACGGTTTAGCCTCATATACAAAGATGAAATGACATTCAGTCACTACATTACGAATATTCAAGCGCGGGAACTCGGTCGATATTTATTATCTATGGTAGCCGCACAAAGAAGTATTCAATCCTTTTGTCTATTGTAGCGGGAAAATGTAAAAAAGTTTTCAAAGTTTGTGGCTTTGAAGAGAGATGGAAATTATATTACATTATTGTCCTTTTTTTATGGCGATGGTGGATGTTTAAGAAAACTTTGAAATTTTGTTTATACAACTGTAAGATTGTGAAGTCTGCGTTCGGATGTAAAGTGGTACGTGCTTGTTATAAATGATTGAAATTATTCTACAATCATAAGAAATATCGAAAATGGCGTTGTAGTTCTCTAAGAACGGGTTCTCTCTATCCCTATACATTCAATTTCTCATTTTGATTTAATTATTCAAAAATCTTGGGATCACACCGTATATTCTGTTTTTCAGATTTTCAAATTATCATGAAGTCTAAATAAAATTGTATTCTTAAGTGTAAATCATGTGTACCTAAGGCAAGACAAGCTTATGAATTTTGTATTAACTAGTTAGGGATTTCGTATGTTTTTTTTTACACAGTTACCTTTTTATCTGTTATCGAGCCAGGCAGGCAAGCATTAGTGAGTAAATTAAACAACCCTTGTTTTGTTGGAAACATTTTAGACTTCATAATTAGTAAATACGTAGTCATAGAAGGAGGTTGGTATTATAATATATATGAAAATGTATTATGAAATTGAGACGAAATTTAGTGAATGAACATTAGTGCTTTGTTTATAAAAAATCAAATTTTCCCCCAAAGAAATTTTAGTAGCTGTAGTAGTAACAAGTATAGAATGAAGAGGTGCACCTCAGTTTTATTAGAACAGTAATGCTTTTTCTGGGACTAATCCCTCCTATACGCCCACTGCTGTAACCTTTGTACACCAGGATCAACAGCAGTGACCTACAAACACACCCAGTTATGATACTCAGGAGAAGAACTTAGAACCCACCACCAAATTAATCAGAAGTGAATTAGAGGAGTTTGAGTTTAAACTGAAGTACTTATAACAGAAATCTGAAGTCTATATTTTTTTACAAACTAAATTTGTTTATTTTTTATCTGCCCCACTCTGCCCATGTGCTATGCCATTACCTATCGGGTAATTTATGATGAGGTAAACCTTACGTAAGGCATTATGTATATAATCAGATATAAATCTGATATCTGTTACGTTATAAACATAGATTTATTTCAAATCATGGCTTTGATATTTTTTAGCCTAAGGTAAGTGATTGAATGCTTCTGTGTAGCGTGTATTAAGTACTTTAACGACAAGTCCCGAGTGCTTTAGACAAGTATGTCTCAGCGTCAGTTGGCGTAGTGGTCGAAAGAGCCCAGGTACTCCAGCGCTGCGCGGTAGCAGAATTCGTACTGGTCCTGTTGATATAAATGATATTAAACATGCTATGAACACTAACGAGCTCGTGTTTTAGTCCTCCTATTCTAGTTGAAGTCCAAAAACTGAACATAAATATATCAATTATATTGGACAGAAAGGTACCCTTAAGGTAAGGTGTTGTTAAACATTCATTAAATTAAATTGTTGTGTCTAAGCAATGGCGACACGAAGATGTTTTGTGGCGAAATGACCACGAAATGTACTTTGTGCAATATGAACATCCAAAACAGTTGAAGACATGTGTATTTTAAAATTTTATGCCGGATTTAATTTTCTTGTCATTTAATCTTTTTTTTATATTATTATTGTTTAAATTACACACGTTTAAGTACAAGCTTTAATAAGGGTAGATTATATTCAGTTTATTTACAGACGTTATGATTTACATTACCTCAGTTTGTACCATAGCAGGGCGTTGCGTGCGCAGCGTGCGAACAGTCTGGAACACGTCCACCACACCCTCGTACTGCATGCGCTCCAACACCGTTGATAGGGTTATAAACACGCCCGTGCGACCGACTCCCGCGCTGTGAGACACACACATATTTCAAAATAAGGCAGTAATACTTAGTTTTATTCTTATTCGGTACTTGAAATTATTACTTTTAATACCTATTAATAACCTTAAGTACCGAATAAGAATTAAACTAAGTACTACTGCCTTATCTTTGCACTTACCTGATTATATACATAACTAGCTGTCCCGGCAAACGTTGTTTTGCCACATACATTATTTCTAGGAAATATTGAAAAAAAAAATAGGGGTGACCCTTGTCATTTACGGGTATGAAAAATAGATGGTGGCCGATTCTCAGACCTACCCGATGTGCACACAAAATTTCATAAAAATCGGTCCAGCCGTTTCGGAGGAGTATGGTAACTAACATTGTGACACGAGAATTTTATATATAAGATGACATACTAAGCTGGCCGTGGTCATACTGACAATCTGTGATTAAGGACAGTTCAACCAGGTCGAAACGTCATGCAATTTAAAGGTATATTACGATTTGAATAGAGATGCTTAATTCTCATTATGATTGCCAAATCAGTTTCTACCTCTGCATTTTCTAAACTTCTACTCTAACAGGTATCCTAATATTAACTTTCTTTCCTATTTATGTTAAAATATTAAGTTGGTTTGGGTATGCTTCAAAAACTCAAAAAGTTCTGCACTGATTTTATTTATTTTTCGTGTCAGTTTTGTCTTCAATCTCATCAATACAACCAATATGTGACACAGCGAAGCGCGGCATGTTACAGCTAGTATTATCTATAATGTGTCCGTTTGCATTGAGGAGCCACTTTTCATTTCGTAATGAAATTAATAGGAAATTAATATTATTATTTAGTAGTAAATAAAAAAAAAAGGTAGCCTCGATCCTCGATTTTGTAGTATAATACTTTAAAAGTTATATGAACATAAAGGTGGCTTCTCAACCGAAATGTTTGGATTGAGGAGCCACGGCAGAACTAGGATCATGTATACATACATTGTATTTTCTTGAATATCAACAGTACTGGATTCAGATTTTTAGTAGGCACTATACACAATTACTACTGAATGAATATATATGTAATGAATGAATATTAAACGGAAACTCACCCCGTTTCCGTTTAAAATCTAAAATGGCTCCTCAATCCATACGGCCACATATATAATGACTAAACCAACTGCCAAATACGTTGTTTATTGCAAGATACTACTACATTGATTAGATGTCAGAGATTTTTTGTTTTTTTTTTACACACAACGCCATCTAGTTTCAAGTTGAGCAAAGCTTATACTATGAAAGCTACATTGACCGATAGAATTCTCATATACTATAAATATCGTACAAACATTTGGTCCGACCCTCAGCTCAGCAGTCCCATACTCTACCACTGCACCATCGCGGCAGTCAAAACTTTAGCCGTTAGTCATTTTAGATATTCCCAGTAACATTTCAGCGTTAAAAGAGGTTTGCTCTATTTCTGTCGTTGGCAACCATTATTCCGTATAATAAATTTATACATACATCCAATTGTGTGCATGTATAAATGTATTACATACATGTAAAGGTTGATATGTAGATGGGGGTTGAATTTGATATTCTTGGAATTTAAACCGAATAGTATAAGATCAATACACACCTGCAATGGACAGTAATAGGTCCATCCTGTCCAAATTGCTCCTTAGTTTTATGGACTTGTCCTAAGAAGTCGATGAATCCTTCTCCGCTCTTTGGGACACCTTGCTCGGGCCAGTCGGTAAATTGGAACTGGCGAACCGTTCTGGATGACCCGTCGCGAGCATCCGTAACCTAGATGAAACAAATAAATCGAAAATTGATAATTATTGTCATGAAAGTCATAGCAGTTGATAGATCGCCTAAATTTTGTTATTTAAAAAAAACATTTGTTATAATTATGTCATGTTATTCGGTTGCTGCTCATTATATAGAGATACAACTATTCTGCTGGAGATTAAATTAAAAGGAAAAAATATAAATGGGTAAAAATATACTGGATATTTTTTTTGGGTAAATGGCAGGTATTTTATGTTATGTGCCTATTTTAAGTTCACAAATGTCAGCACACTTACCTTGAATTCCCTCAAGATATACTGAGGCATATTATACTCGGCAATGGGGTCAACCACAAAGCATTGGTAGCGCACTGAACGGTCCGATGGCCAGTACTGATGACATTTTTCCTAAGAAATACACAAATATTAATTGCTGTGCAAGAGAAAAAATAAATAAATTTAAGTGTGTTGCAGGAACATGAACTTACTCGACCCATTTCCTTTAATTTGGTCAGCATCACGATGATAGTGGAGTTGTGTTCCCAAAGCATTCGCCAGAAATCATCAGTTGTATCTGGCAAAGGTCCTTGAGTCGCGATATAAGCTGATCTATATCTATAACCATCTACGAACGACGCATTTATGTAGTCTGAACCATCACGAGGAGTCAAACATACGCGAGAAGATTCATAAGGCAAAATATGAACAAGTCTGTTCTTGTGTTTATTGCAAGGCAGGCTAGCAGACACAAATCGACTGGAGTCAGCTTTCATATTAGCCAACTTTTTAAATTCTAATTCCATGCCAGTAATGTTCTCAATAGGATCAACACGCATTAGTTTTTGAATGTGAGCATGTAAATTGCGAGCGGGTACTTCAGTGTCGCCGCAAATAACAGCTTCAAGCAAGGCATCATGAATGAAAATGTATTGATCTTCTGTCTGAACCATGTAATTTCGTTGAGCTCGCAAGCAGGTCACGTGGCCGTAGATATCTACAGTTCGCTCATGGCGCGCCCTCTCAAGCATCGAATCAATGACAATAAAGCATCCAGTGCGACCAACACCAGCTGAGCAGTGGACCACTAACGGGCCAGCTTCAGGTGGGTTTAAGGCTCTTACACGTCGTAAGAATTGAAGGAATGGTGCAGGGTGATCTGGTACACCATGATCAGGCCAAGCGGTAAATTGCAATTGTTTGATTTCACGTCTTTCACTGTTGTTTCCGTTCCTTTCAACTTGAAAGGTTCGAATGCAATAAGTCGCCAGTTCTTGCACCTCGGATATCGTTACATTCATCATACCATATGTTTCAGTTCCTCTGCTTGGCCAGTATTGGTCACATTTGATTCTTGTTCTTTCTTCAAGCTTTGTCATCATCACAATAGTGGAAGTACGTAGTTCCCAGCACATTCGCCAAAAATCTGCCAGAGTTTCCTGAAGAGGTCCTTGCGTGGCAACGTAAGCGTTATGTTTTCGATATCCATCGCAATAGTTAGCGTTAATGTAATCACTTCCTAGAATTCCGTCTATTGGTTGCAGTATTACTCGGCTATGATCATAAGCAATAACGTTGGCATAACGGTTCTTCGGCTTATTGACCTCCATATTAGAATGATCCCAGGTAAATTGCTGACCTGGTTCTATACTTTCATATTCTTGAGAAAATTTTAGATTGTCATTAGCTTTCAGTCTTTCGATATGTTCGGCAAGTTCAAGAATAGGAATGGGTGGGTGGGAAATCATGGCAGGCGTTTGGAAGTTCAATCGTCTCATTTCTACTGGATCGGATGGTGCTCCAAAGCCTACATCAGCTGACATTAAAGGTCTCGTAACAGCTGCCTGATCTGGAGCTTTGCAAGGTTGTCGTCGTCTCTTGAAAATAAACATAACAACCAAACATAGTGAAAGCATTAAAGCTGCAATAATTGGGCCGACAACCCATACCATCCCAGCTTCTTTTCTGTTGTCTTCGATCCTGATTTCAGGATCTCCATGAATATCTTTAGGGTCAGGTCTGCTTGGTTCTTCCCCAGGAGGTGCCACACGCATGTCGAGTGACAGATTTTCCGAAAATGGACTAGAGGTATAAAGATGTTTTTGAGGAGTATCGACAACTGCTCGCACAAAAACACGATATTTTTTGTTCAGATTTAACTTTCTGTTTAGGAAACCTTCATACATTTCATCATTACCAAGATGAAATGTGTATAATATGTTTCGTTGCAAGAATTTGGCAGCAATATATGGTGCATTTTCATCATCTGTTCGAACATTATTTTTTATTAAATCATCTGTTAGGAACTGATCCGGATTCTTATGATTATGGGCTTTATCATCAGGCACTACAACTAGATAATAATGCGATATGGGTCCATATTCTTCCGAGGCTTGAGGTAGAATGACAAGTATTTCGTTTTCAACAACACCATAAAAATCGGGTTTAACCATCGGTTTAGGTGCTGCCATCTGCGTGGTGACAGTGATCTTCGTTGGCGGTCTATACGAATCGTCATTAGGTATAGCACTTACATTAACATTATACGTTGTAAACGGGGATAGGTCATTTATGGAATGTGACGTTCTATCCTGTTTTACGATGATTTCCTTTCTTGGTATTTCTTGTGTTTGTGTCATTCCAAGAGAGTCAACAAATTCTTTAATAGCATTATAGGAAATCTTATAGCTAACGGGGTTTAAGCGTAATGGAGGAGACCATGATAACGTCATGGAGTGAGTGGATACATCTTGAGCCCTAAGGTGTAAAGGCACTTCTTCAGGTCGGACCTTAACAGTAACTTTATCTGATAACCTTCCTAGGCCATCTGCTGTCTTTGCAGCAACAGCAACAGCATATTCTGCAAATTTTTCCAAATTTTCTAAATCTGCAGAGTGCGTTACATGAACACTCTTTTGTTGCCATTCATCTAGATCCTCAACTGGTGTCATAGTATAAAATATGACATAACCAATGATTTTCTTTCTCGAGCGAAACGTTTCCCACCAAACTTCTACACTGGATTCTGAAGTTGCTACAGCTTTAACTGACATGGGCGCTCTACCGATGTCCCTTTCAGTATGAGCTGTAACGTCTTTACTGTATGGACCAGAACCTTGGTCAGTGTATGCACGGACTTTGAACACATAGTGGGCGTCTTCTTCTAAGCCAGTAAATACTGCTTTAGTTACTTCAATAGTTTTCTCTACGACAGAAGCTTGATCTCCCTTTTTGTAAAACTGAACGTCGTATTTTTTTATCTGGCCACTTCGGTCGGCACGGATGGGAGCATCCCAAGTAATACTAATAATGTCTGGCGTCTGGAAATGATAAGTGACGTTCGTCGGTGGTCCTTTCGGGGCACCTTCTGGTGTTAGCCAGTATTTTATAGTTTCTTGACCTATACCAATGTGGTTTTTCCCTGCTATCCTAAATTCATATTGGACGCCTCTTTCTAGATCATTCATTTTATAACTATGGACTTTGGTACCGGGGAAATTTATTTCCTCTAGAGGTTGATCTTTGACACCGTATCTCAAGCGATATCCGAGCAATTCCCCATATGTTTGAGACGGTTTCGTCCATTCTAATTCTATCGATACAACTGGATCTTTTTCCAGAACCCTGTAAGAAAAACAGTGGTTCATTATGATAGGCATTCAAAATATCATCAACATAAAATATGATTCAATAAAATATTTAAGGCTCACTTTAGGTTGACGGTAGGCCTGTTTGGCACACCGCCAGGCGTCTTTACAGACACCGGCGCACTTCGGTCACCGTCCCCCTTTCTCGTCAGAGCAGCCACTTGAACGTTGTATCGCGTATCCGGTTGGAGCCCCGAAACGTTAAGTTCGAGAGTTGTATCGTCTAACACGTTAAATCGCATCGGGTCGTTTAGCAAGCCTTTACCCTAATGAATAGATATATGATTTTAAGTATGTTCCTTGCAAGCAACAAATTTAATTTTATTAGAATTTGTATTAAATCAATAACTTACTTCTTCCCTGATTTCTTGCACATGAACATGGTAGCCTCTTATAATACCGTTTTTCTCTTTCTCTTGCGGTGGCTTCCACGTCACGTGGATCGAAGTTGAGTTAATGGCAACGATCTTCACGTCTTGGGGCTCGCCAGGGACTGTGTACACACACAACCAATGTGAGATATCTGAGCCGCACCTTTTGGAAACACGACCTAAATTGCCCTATCAGCATCTACGGGAGCGTGCTAAAACTACCTAAAGCGACTCTTAAGGGCCTAAATTGGAATTAAGCGTCGGCGTCAAATATTTTAGAGTTAAGCACTGCAATTTTTTATTGTAATAACAAATGGTAGTAGGAGTGGTGTCGGTAACCCATCGGTGATGCTGATAGAGCACTTCAGTCGCTGGCGAGTGTCTACACACGCCTGTCAGCATCTCGATCGGGCATTTGAATACCAACACACACTGAGACATTATCATTTACGTCCTTTCATATCACCATAACCAAATAAAATCCATTACCTTCCAATCCACATCGTTTAGAACTAAAACCAAGCTTTTACAAAGAGTCAACATTTAGTAAGTATTCATCTAAAAGTTTTCAAAGCAGCATTTCTATAACTATAAATCCTTAAACCACACACTGCAAGGGACCATGCTTCGGGACGTCACGACTTGGGAGTATCGATTCAAAAGTAAGTAACAATAGGACACACCAAGTCTTTAATCATCAATAACTCGTCTACGAAGACATGCTTTTAAAGGTTACCGCTTGCAGTTTGTTTTAGAGTAAGTCATTAGATTAAGGAGCCTGGAAGATACTACGTAAAGCATAAGGCACAAGCACAAACGCACACCGAAACAAGCACTATAGTAATTGGTACTCACTCCTTATGGCTGTACGGGTTACCAGCGGCCCATACAAAGTCAGTGACGAGAGAAAAAAAGAGAAAAACGCATTCAAATACATTTAAGACAAATTGTGCGAACATTGCAGGGCGAACGGAACTACTAAGTGAGAGATTACGAGCAGAACGCTTGTCGGCGAAATGGGGGAACTATTACTTTATTTCCTCGTGTATTTTGAGCTCTTTAGGAGGCGCATTCGTTTTAAGCCGCTTGGGACGCCGGTCTAGTTTCACGTGCATTGCCTTTTTCTGTACGAAGTCTGCCAAATAACCAGGAAATGGAATTTTCACTTCTTGAGTATACATACATAAAGAGTTTGTTTGACACAAATACATTTTTGAGAGCAAAATAAGTTCACGTAAGCGTGAAATCTCTTTTCCGGCATTGGATAAGGACAGAAAAAGGCAATGTAGTACACGTTCTGTCAACTGTTCCACGTCGTTCGGTGCAGAGAAGTCACTCACACGCACATGTATTGATTAACGCGACGGCGCCAGTCTATGTGTGTGTGCTTCAGTGTTGGTCTTGTCAATGTGCGGCCGTCGTACCTTCTATGTGTGTTGTGGCTCGTACCTCGTGTATCCACTGTGATGTTTATGACTGTGTCAGTGTCCATTGGCTGTAGTCTTCTATAAAACTGTTCTGTATTTTATATAAAGTCAATAATGTACTTAACAGGAGTGATTGATGCTGGGTTACACCGCGCAGCGTTCTTTGGCCCCATCCGTTCTTTGTTAACGACAATAGCGAACGTTAGGCATAATAGTATTCTGTATTATGTCACAATATCTAGTGTGCATGCACGACGAAAGTCTGATAGAGTATACAGAAAAAGAAGAGTGAAACTGCTACTGGCAAGAAGATGTAGCACAAGAGCAAGTGAGATAGAGAGACAGATAGATATAAAGAGATAGTGAGAGTAGTATTAGCGCGTAGTCTAGTAACCGAGCTGAGCAGTCGGGGAGTACAGGCGAATAGTGTCGCGGTCCTGATCCCTGGGATCCGTTACGAGACCAATTTGTTTTAAAATTGAATTTTGGACGTTGGATCCTCGGGACTTGGCTTCGACCCGCAGTCTTCCCGCTAATAGTAGATAGTAGTGAGGATAGTACAGTGAGTAAGGAAGTAGTAGATGTGAGTAGTTCCGTAGCATGCGCGCGTGTCGTGTGGGGACGGTATTGGTATTCAAATGCGGCGTTCGGGTGGTGCGTGTGGAGCGTTATAGCCGTGGTTGCGAAACGACCTTTTCTGTTTAAATACCAGTTCCTTTGAGCGCTGACGTGCAGCAAGAGTACGACAGCGCTCAAAGCCAAGTACAAAGGCATACGATGAAAGCTACGCGCACGGCTATGGCTGGTTGTGTCACGCACTCGCTCTCTCACCTCGTGTCGTCGCTAGATGTGCTGAGTGAATCCTAAAAGTGCAAATTTTACCTCACGCAACCTTCAAAAAGTACCACGACCGATTGCGTGCAGCAAAATATGATACCTATCTGGTGCCCAGTGAAAACTTAAAACGAAAAACGGTGCGGTGTCGGTAAAGAAGCATGCAAAATTGTGTCCATTGCTAAATACTCAACAACTGTGCGCCAAAATCAATAATATAACGGTGCCGTCGTTACTATACCAGGTGCATTATAAACTTTGCATTTCAGTGAGTGCCATCTTAACGAGACGAGTCAATGCGACGCGTCATCAAAAAGAAATCATTACATGTGACAAGTGAGTGGAAGTATCAATTCTATGCCGCTGTGATAGCGAATATAGTACAGTGAAACCAAAATGATCATCAGTAACATGATTAATAGATATACATGGAATATCGGCAAGCTTATTAATACTTTTGTTACTAGAACAAAACCTCCTTGTTTAGAATCCTGCTATGTGCTCACAAAAAGGAACAAAAGAAAAAAATGACATTAGTAATTTGGTATTTATAATAGCGCAACGAGTTTTTTGACGTGATTGTGAACTTATGCCGTTATGACATTAATGGTATGTATCAAAATGTCCCACCACCAACAAAAGAGCAACAATTAATAATCTCCATTCACAGTTAAAATATAATGACACTACAACATAGTTTGAAAATATTTAAAGAATAAAACGTGATGTTTGAAACAATGCATTTACATTGTAACTGTGACATTAAAATATTTCAAAATAAAACTGTTCATATTCAACAGAAAACAGAAAAATTAATAAAACTGATAGCTATGGTCTTATGCCTTCGCTTTAATACCTATTAACCGACTAAAAAATATGAACAGTTTCATATACCAATTCATACCAACTTCGTAGCATCCCAAGGTTTTGTTAGTAAATAGATGTATTATTAGATTAATTCATGAATATTATTTTGTCATTAAAAGTCAGTCAAATGTAGTAGCAGAGGCTGTTTTAGATTCAAAAGGTACTTTACGACAGTTTAGAAAATTCTTACCTAATTTGCAATAATTTAAAAAGTAAATGAACTTCGAAAACTCCTCTGATATTACATGGCCAGAGAACTTTGTTAATTTGAAAGATAATTAAATTATTCATCAATTATTAGCAATTAATTCTTCGGCCCGGCATCGCTCAATTTTATGATTTTATGTTTATTAACGTTTCCCCGGATTATATCAAAAAGTTAATCTATTATTTTTTGTTTGAGAATAAGTCGAGTCATAAAATTGAGCCGCCTCGATGTCGATTAAAGGTGGTTACGTCCAATGACTGTGTGAGACACGTACCGTCTTCATGCGTTCGCACGGTGACGGGATACGAGGCGGGTCCGTCGCCCACGCTCGTGCCCGCGAGAACCCAGATGCGGTACTCGGTCCAGCGACGCAGTTCGTCCAACACGAACGAGGTCTGATTGAGTTTGACGACGGTGGCCTCACTGTCCCCCCTCCCAGATTCCACACAAAGCAGCTTGTAGTAAGCGATCCTGCCGTGCGCGCGCTCGGCGGGCGGCGGCTGCCACGACACGCGCACCGCCGTGGGCGACACGGCCGCGGCGCTCACGTTCATGGGCGGCGCGCCTGGCACTACGCAAGCGAACGTTCAGCAGCGGCTCGCCGCGGGCCGGACCCGCGGGTCCAGTCCGCGGCACCTGCAACTGAAATGCGACGCGCGGCTCGGCGCGCCGCGTTATACCGCAACCGACCTAGCCGATGCAATCACTGAATGCGATTGAAACAAAAAATAAAGTGTGCCCAAAACAAAACGAAAGAACGACATCCGTCGTCAAAATAAACGAGCATGCACATTTTGTTAGTGTGGTGTGATTTGTAGGATCCGCTCGCCCATACATCTCTATGTCTCATCCGTCACACTTTCCCCTGTTGGAAGAAAATCGTGATGATTATGTTAGCTTACCACGCGGAGAGCATTATCTTTGAGCGTGATAGATGGTACGATATATTGACACGATAAAGCTTGTGAATGTTACTGAAGTTACCCATGGAGTTAGTAATGGCCACGTCATATTTTGAATGTTCTCAGCGCAGTCGGCAGTGGAAAAAAAAATGTCACAGGAGGCGTTTAACCTCAGACTTAAAACTCTGACCTACGTACAACATAAAGCTACTACTAAGGTACGGTGTACGCTTCCGATTACATAATTCATCTAACAACTTGGACAGTTTTGTTCGATCGTGCAATTACTTTTAAGGCGTACACTTTACCGTTTCGACAAAGGTACGATTACAAAACACATATTGTGATATAAAACTTGGTGCTTGTGCTGTATTACTGGCAGCGTGCCGGGCAGGTGCTCTTATGTGAAATATTACATTAGGAGTTACCTGGAATACCAACAACAGGTTCACACTCTCATATTCTCAATACAATGGTTGGGAAAGAACCATCTTATGTCAAAAAACATTCTAAGCATACTAAAAATAATTATTATTCTAAATTTAAATGGTAAATTTGCTATGTTCATGGTTCGTTCCCTATCACCGGTCTACAATCACTCGTTCACGAGACGTCACTCCTTGTATTAGTTATCACCACATACCATATTGTTTTGTTCGAACGGCAATAGGTGGAGTTGTCGCACCCTCACCCCTCTGTGATCTTGCTGCCAGCCAGATGTAGTACAACGTGTTGGGGTACAGCCCGTTCAGAGTGTATGTTTCAGTTATTGGAATCCGCCTAAATACATAGATGCAGTTTTGATGAGGTATAAATAGAAGATTTAAATTTAGTACTCGAAAATGAATAATCCCTGAGTTGAAACTCTTATTTTATTTATAATAGCTTGGGGTTTCCATAATTTTGTCATATTGCATTATTATAGTAACTTAGTAGCTATTGTAAGTAGTAGGTAGTTATTTTAACTTTATTTTTGCTAAAAAAACTACAAGTGATGTAAGTTGTACCGCCTTTTATAGTATAGTGACTAGTATTATAAGGCAAAATTGCCTTATGTAAATGGATTTCAAATCATGTTAAATTCTAAACATGTTTCGTCATCATTAAATATTTACTCCCTTAGGTTTGTAAAAACGAATTTTGTTGCATTTCTTGCATTTGCATATCATTTAAAGAGAAATTTCTTACTTCCTATGGTGTTCCTTGGCATACGTATCGTTCCAGTAGAGTTCGTAAGACACGATGTTGTCTCCAGCGTGAGCTGGTCTTCTCCACGACAATGTGACTGAAGTCTCGCCGGCTTCCACCGCGACTAAGTTCGATGGTTGTGATGGAACACCTATGTTTACAATTAAGTTTGTACATTGAAAAGGTATTATAATCAATCTATTATGTATGGCCTGTATGGAGTTGGATTTCTAATAAAAAAAGAACACAAAAATAAAATTGTAAGTTTCTCAGCACTTTCAGATCGGGTTGCTCTATTAAAAATAAAATACGACAGCCAAATGCTTACAATAATACAAGTATACGCACCAACTGAGAAGGCTACGGATGAAGAAATCAACTCATTCTACGAAACTCTACAGACAGCTCAGGGTCAGGCAGGAGAAAATGTCCTTGTTATCGGTGATTTTAATGCAAAAATTGGACAGAAGAATGCAGAAGACAGCGAAAACCTTGTTATAGGAAAATTTGGATATGGAAACAGAAACGAAAGAGGAGAGAAACTAATCCAATACGCATTAGAATATAAAATGTCAATTATGAACTCTTTTTTTAAAGCTCGAGAAAATCGCAAATGGACCTGGCTCTCCTCTTGTGGCAGGGTGAAAAACGAAGTCGATTTTATTTTGTCAAATCACCGTTCGAACATAAGAAACGTAGAGGTACTACATGGCTTTGGATTCAGATCTGATCACCGCCTAGTTAGAGCTAGTTACATTTTAGAGCAGGGCAAAAAGAGTAGAATTTCGTTCAAAGCACAACCTGTACCGTTGACATCGGACGAGGATATATCGATATATTTAAAAAACCTTGAGACCAACATACATAAACTGGAAACACAGTTCGAAGAAAAAGAAGTTCCTCAAACTTTCTATAATAAGCTAGCTAACAGTATCAAAAGCAGCCTTCCACGTAGAGAAAAAAAAAAAGACCTAAGAACTATTGATAAAATACTCAAACAATCTACTCGAACTCTTCTTACAAGACGAACCGAACTTTTAAAATCCAAACAAAAAACGAAAGAGACGAGAGAAGAGCTGAGCAGACTATATAAGGCTACGAGTAAAGCAATCGATAAGGACTACAAAGACCATAGAAACAAAATTATTCAGACTAACCTAAAAGACTACAGAAGCTCGAAAAAAGCCTACAAAGAATTGATCACGCACAAAAACTGGATTCAAAACCTAAAAGTAAAATCTACAGAAATTAAAACCAGACAAGACATCATGAACTGCGCTACAGATTTCTACAAGCAATTATATAAAAAAACATCAAAACCAAATTCTTGCACCACTACAACCGAAGATGTAATGGGAGATTCTTCTAACACGAGCGACCCGCCGCCAATAGTTCCCATGGAAGTCACGAAGTACATCCAAAAACTCAGAACAGATAAAAGCCCAGGTCCTGATGGCATACAAAACGAAATGCTAAGAGCCGGTGCTGACATATTAGCCCGCCCACTAGCGCACCTATTCAACAATGTCCTTGACACGGGTCAGGTACCAGAGCAATGGAAAAGGTCCGACATAATCCTTCTGTATAAAAAAGGCGACCCACAAGACATAGCTAATTACCGACCTATTAGTCTTCTTTCAAGTGTGTACAAACTGTTCTCATCAATTCTACAAAGCCGACTGAACCCGAAGATCGAAGTTCCAACCGGTGGAACAGGCGGGGTTTCGTTCTGGATTTTCAACAGTGGACCATTTACAAGCAATGCAACAAACGATAGAGAAATATACAGAGCTAAACAGGCCACTATACATTGCTTTTATTGATTACACCAAAGCGTTTGATACGATTTCTCACGATGCTATTTGGGGAGCGTTGAGCAAATGTCACATACACGAAAAATATACAAGAGTATTGAAAAACATATACGAGGATAGCGTAAGCCAAGTCAAACTAGAAGTACGAGGCCCAGATATACCAATCTGCAGAGGAGTGAGGCAAGGAGACCCTCTCTCGCCAAAGCTGTTCATTCTAGTATTGCAACAAATTTTCGATAATATTAACTGGCAGACGGAGGGAATAAGAATCAATCGAGATCGACTCACTCACCTCAGATTTGCCGACGATATTGTTCTATTTGCTGAAGCAAGTAATGGGCTAGAAAAAATGATAAACACTTTAAATAAAGAAAGCGAAAAAGTGGGACTGGAAATGCACGAAATCAAAACGAAGGTAATGACAAACAGCCACATAAACCCTATAAACCTAAATGGGAAGCCCCTAGAGTATGTGAACCACTATGTATACCTAGGGAAACAAATATCATTCGAAGATAAAAATGAAGAACAAGAGGTTGAGCGGCGTATTAATATCAGCTGGAAAAAGTTTTGGTCCATGAAGGAAATCCTGAAAGGAGATTTTCCCCTTCACCTAAAGAAAACCGTCTTAGATAGCTGTGTCTTGCCTACTCTCACATATGGATGCCAAACCTGGACGTATAACACCAAAATAAAAACCAAACTAATGGTATGCCAGAAATCAATGGAAAGGAGTATTCTCAAAATAAAAAGAATGCAAAAAGTTAAAAGCGCACATATAAGAAGAAGAACAAAAGTCATAGATGCTTTACAGTATGCTCTAAAACAGAAGTGGAGGTGGGCAGGGCACATAGCAAGACACACAGATAAAAGATGGACATTAAAGACAACTGTTTGGGAAGGACCAACAGGGAAAAGGAGAAGAGGGCGCCCCAGAAAAAGGTGGATAGACGACATAAAGGTGATAGCAGGCAGCGAATGGATGGGGAAAGCCCAGGACAGAGAGGTCTGGAAAAAGCTGGAGGAGGCCTATACCCGAGAAGGGGTTCCGATCAATGGTATTGAAGACAGCAAATTGATCTATTAAATTTTTATTTTTATTTTTATTTTTAAACTTTACACATGAAACAAACATGAAATTTAATTAGTTTTATAATATTAATTTTAATGTGAATAAATGTGTAATGGATGATTTATGTTTGAAAATACTAGTTATATCAATGATTTTTAGATTGGAAATAAATGGCTATATTATTATTTATTATTATTATGTAACAGATAAACAGGTAAATCGAAAGACAGTAGGATATCTAAAAGAAAAAATGCTAATACATTTAAACAAAATTATAAAATGGGTGTTTATTATATCAGTTTTGGTCATATCTACCAGTAATCATACGAAACGAAGCCTATGATTGTTACACAAGGAAAAACAAAGCATATTTTTAGAAGTCTTTGGAGCTAGTCTTTTGTTTAGATTACGAGTGGTATTGTGGAAGTTGCAACGAAATTTAGATCATGAGAATTACAAATGTCATTCGATTAAGACTTGTACGTGTGATTTATTGCAATATAACATAATACATATAGCAACATCCAAGTTTCCTGAAACAGACCTGGGCCTCAATTCTGCTATTTTATGTTACCGCCAAGCCACTGTAATTCTATTGAGATGTCATTGAAACATCATTGACATTGGTCAAAATATCAGTATTCTACTAACATAAATTCACAGTATCAATAGACTGGCGATACAGTAATATAGGTCATCAATGTTGATATCAACAACATTACCATATCTGGAAAATTTAATATATAATTTTCCTACAAATTTAAAATGTACCGTTTACCAAACTGTTACGTAGACATTGACGAAATTTGTATCAGTGACAAGTCATCGGGCCATTGGTCTTACATAGTTAGTAGAATAGGAAAAGTGCAAAACTATTCCGACGACATTCCATCTACAGTCTATTGATACAATATTAAAATAGCAGAATTGAGGCCCTGGTAGTCAAGCCAGTACCGCCAAGGGCCATCCATAATCACTTGGTAAACAAACCGGGTCCGTAGATAAATATACTGTGTTGCTAGTTTATGGAATCTTATTGAGAAGACTTGAATTGCATGCAATCGCAGGCATGCAATCGATTCTCTGCGAAGAGAATCTGTGTATTCTGAGTAGTCTATTAACTCAAGATGATATAGTACAAGCTTTTTAGAATTTCTTAATCGGACTGTAAGAGTTTATACGATTGTTTTTATACTTAACATGCCTTTACAGTATATTTTAGAGCAGTTTAAAGCACCTTGTATATATATTACGTAGAAAAAACAGGATTCAAAATGTGACTACTCTAGTAAATTCAACACCTGATAATTAATATTTCTTTGATTAATATAATAGATTTATAAAAATATTACAGTTCAATGTGAACTCAAACATTCGTTTGCTTAGTTATTGCAAATAGGCAAATAAAATCTAAAAGTTGGATTTAAAAATAATCAAGATTATCTAGATTATCTTTAGATTATCTACTAGGTACGTTGTCGTCGGCATGTCACGTCCTTCGATGATATTTAAAATCCGTTCCACATTTTTTTAAAAATATATTTTATCTTACTATTACTATTATTATTTACTGTTACTATTATTAGTTACTACTACCACTTACCTTGCTGTGTTTTAACCTGTACCGGAGCAGAAATAGGTCCCGGACCCACGGAGGTGAACGCCTGGACGCGTATTGTGTAAACCGTATGAGGGGTCAGTTCACTGATCGTTGTTAGGTGACTGTTATCCATCTGCAAACGGAGGTGTAGTTTGAAAATATGCAGCTTGAGAGGGTAGAGTAGATTTCGTGTTGTAATTAAAATTGTCTATGGTAAACTCTTTAGATCTGTTTATAAGTTATGTAAGTTGTACATAATAATACTTTTTTAATCCAAGCTGTTGGAAAAAAAGTTGTTGTTTAAAAAATTAGATTAACAAAGTTGAGAATGCTGTCTTAACATTCTTAGTTACAATCTTACCATTTGAGAATGCCAGGATTGCAAGGGTTGCGATGGATCCGTGGTGTAAAAGATTTTGTAGCCCTGTAAAAAATAATATTGATAAGGTATGTATTAAAAATTTAAAAGGTTAATAGCATTTTTAACCGTTTTTTTTGTTATTTATTTTATTACATAATTTGAAATTCTTTTATCAAATGATATCTTACCGTAACTTGGCCGTTAGGTGTCTCTGGCTCGTCCCACTGTATGACCATAGTGCTAGAGCTGAGAGGCCGAACTTGAACGTTGCGTGGAGCTGACCCCGGTTCTACGAAAAAAAAACAACAAAATAACTAAAAACTCACTGGACCTAATCAAGACTAAATGTATATATCCTAAAAAATCCCACATATTAGTCGATTATTCAATACTGCATGCTAGATTTGAAAATGTAGACTTGTTTTTATTGATATGAGTATAAAATTATTATTATTATTACAAAACATAACTGTTTATTTGATTTAAACTCAACAAACAGCACAACAGACTACATATACTACAACAGAACTATAAAAAGGAGCTTTGCACTAAAACCTGTCGTATAAACAGTGGGTTGTCACTCAACTGTTGTTGACTTGGCGACGTCGCGTGCATTAAGGTTGGGGCAGACAGCGGGCTGGAGGAGACAGACCTTTAGCGATATCGATCATTTGGGATCGATATCGCTAAAGAGGAGGATCGCCAACCAAACACATTATTAACACATGCATCCCGACAATGTGAACCACTATTTATTCATATATTTATGATGTTTGAGTTTCAGGTAAGGTCGACTAAAAGATAAAAAACGACATCAACGTTATATTTTAATTTTTATTTAAGTAACTTAGGTGGTATGGTAAAAAATTAAGTAGATGTTCATTAAAAACAGAAACCCACATACGTTTGTATATTTATGTATATAAACATATAAGTAACTAGCTGTACCCTGCCATGCTTCGCTGTGGCATATTAGGGTTGCTTTGAAAAGAAATGAGGAACAACCCTGATACGAAAAACATTTTTGAAGCTCAGATGTTGCCAGTTAGAGAAGAGATTTCAGACTTCAAATTCAAACAAGAAGAAAGGAAGAAAATCGACTTATAAAGTCTTAAAAATGTACAAAACGAAATTAAAAAAAAAAAGTCTAGGCCCCCATCTCTCTTTGAAGGCGACTAAAGACCTTCGATGTACTTTATTGCTACAATGAATGTTTACTTTACCCCACTTACATGTTACACCGAAGTTTTGGTTAGGCTACGGACCGTCGGGCACGCCGTCATTGCGGCGGTAAGACCCGTTATGGAGGATTGGCTCGAGAGGCGTCACGGGACCCTCTCATACCGATTGACGCAGGTGATCACTGGGAAGGGATGTTTCGGAGATCACCTGTGTCTGATCCGCAAGGAGCCAACGCCTGAGTGCCACCACTGCGATGGCCAGACCGTGGACACGGCTCTCCACACGCTGGCAGAGTGCCCGGCGTGGGTTGAGCAGAGGCGAGACCTCGTGGCGGCCATCGGAGTGGGAGTTCTCTCGCTCGATAGCCTGATTGCGGCTATCGTGCGGAGCGAGAGTGCGTGGAACTCTGCCGTCTCCTTCTGCGAGCAAGTTATGCTCGCGAAGGAGACGGCGGAGCGGGACCGGGAGAGGTTTAGAACTCTCCCGGCCCGCCAGGCCCGGGCACGGGCCAGGCAGCGCAGGCGACTCAGGCGCCGGAGGTCGCAGAACGACCTTCGTCCTCCATAAGCGCAGGCCTGGGGGTGACAGGTGAGGCCATCTGTCACCCTAGCAGAAGCAGGCCGGGGTGGCGGCGAGCGCGTTGCGAAGCGCGCTCGCTTCCAGGGAGCACAGGGAACATGGGGTTCCCACACGGGGCGGGGGTCGTCTACTCGTCTGTAGATGACCCGAGGTATGTCGGGGCACCAGGGCCTTCCTTTCTAGGGTATACCTGGTTCCCCGGCTATTAGTACCCGGCGAAGGCGTGCGGTTTTAGTCGGTTCGAGTCCGACATGCCACCGACAGGTGGTATCCGAGGGGATTTCCGCACGGAAAAAAAAAAAAAAAAAAAAAAAAAAAAAGGCTACGGACCGTGAAGTCGGAAACGAAGAGAATGTAGAAACTAACTGCTATCAAGGAGTAATTGCTTAGGTATAGTAATTGCTTAGAAATACCTAACTATAAATAGAAACTAAAATGTTCAATCTACGCATGTAAATTACATAGACTAACGCTCTTAAACTTGGGCGAATATTAAATAAACAAGAAAACTTAAAAAAACGTAACTTTTTTATCGTATAAAAGTGACGTCACATCATCACATCACATCAGCAGCCTATAATAGTCCACTGCTAGATATAGGCCTCTCCTTCGAAAGGAGGTTTTGGCCTACTAGAAGTCACGTACCCTTGTTTAAAATCTTCCTTCAATGAGTGAATTTTATAAGAATGTTTAATGGATTTACTTCAATATAAAATAAATGCAACAAATGGTACTGCTCATTATTTGAATAATTTTAAAAGCTTTTCTAATTTAATGGTCTATAAACAGTTTAAACGATTAAGCTAGATATAATGGTTACCGCAAATGAGGAAAAGTTCTCACGAAGCGTAACATATTTTACACTAACAACAATACAGTTCAACAATTATACAAATCACTTCAAAACCCCTTAAAATAAATTAACTACGTATTAACTTATAAAGGACTATAATTATTTTAAAACCTTTATGCATTTCGCTGTACCTCATACACACGCGTTATCATAGACGCAATAAAAACTAAATGTATCAGTATCGTTAAATTAAGAACCGACTTGACTCATCTCAATTACGTACGAAATGAAAATAAAAATAATAGGACAATAAGCATGGATGGCACAATGGCCGTCTTAATAGGATTTGTAATCGCCGTCTCCAACATGAAAAACGGAGCGTCACTCAATGAAAAATCTCTTTTATGTATATAATACTCGCAACGAGCGAAACAATAAAAGTTCCGGGTCTGTGCAATATTAAAACGCTATAATCTCGTTTGGTCCCAAAATCGGGGTCGTCGGTGTCAGACCTAACTTTTCTTTTATTAGAAATGTAAAGAATATAAAAGACCTGTTGGTAATTTTTATACACCAACGTTTTCATTACCAACTCATCAGAGTTTTTATTTGTCTGTTTTGTGACATCGTGTCCACAATTTATGTCGAGGCGAGGTTTTGGTAATCGTATTTAATATATTCTGGAAGGGGAAATTAGATATGGTTATAAAGGCAAGATACACAAAGGGAACAAAGGAGGTGAGTCGCAGTACAACTTGTTTACTAAAAATGTTTACCATCCAGTATTATAACTTTTTTTTGTAACGTACCTATTTTAAATGCTCAAAAACACGAACATGCACCCCATTTTAAGATACTACATCTTTTATAAAAGCAACAGCTACTTGATAAAATTAATGTACACGATAGATTTTAAACTGTTTTGAAGGCCACGGCCATATTCATGCTGTCAATACCCATGTTTTAAAGATTATTACCCGTAAAATGTCACCAACAATATCAAACTAACACAGCCAATTAACGTGCCCTGTACGAAAGAAAGATGAATTCCAAGAACCTATACTTAGGTAAAATTACAAGTTCATGTTACTGTGGAGCCTAAATTATATGAAACACATTGAAATTTATAATGTTTTGCATACAGGGCACGGTTTCACATCTCCATCCAAAAAGTTAGAACGCATGTTAAACGAAAATAGATTTATTCATAAACTTATACTTACTGGCACCTCCATATGAATCCCCTGGAAGAAAGCACGGGAACAAAAGAACAAAGTTAGTATTTTGAACTAATGTAGACAAATCACACACACTGTGCCGCAGAAGAAAATTTAAAAACGTGTGACACAAAACCGGCTGTTTATATTCGTCCTAATACGGATAAAAAACAAATGGTGCATGACTGAAAAACTAAAAAAAAAATACGCGCTATCTCTACTATCTAAAGAAAAAAAGAAATGTGCAAAAGAAACTCAACTCCACGACAAATCAAAAGCGAACTTACATGAAGCATCGGCGAATGTCGTAGTCACGATACGAGTAAACGCGTAGGCATGTAAAGAAGATCAAAGAAATACCTTAAAACTGAGAATTGAGCGCAAGAAAACAGAAATCTATTGTAGTATAGACGATTCAAAGCGAGATAAATTAATTTTAATCTTGACAATTTAAAGCGGGCGTTAAAAATGAAATCATAACAAGCATATGAATTAATGCGGAAATATGATCATTTTGTTAGCTATTACAATTTGGTATGAGAAACCTGTGCCGTTTAATTATAATGTCCGATATTACTCCGGCGTTCTTTGATAAGAAAATACTATTACTCTGCGGTCTAAGTAATTGTGTGCGTTAGATTCAAAGATATTAAGTTTTGGTAATAAATACATAAAAACGTTTTGTTGCTGCTCCCAAGCGAGGCAAATAGTTTTGTTTTGAATACGACATTTGACTGTCAAGTTAAATTAGTTTTTCTTTATTAAATCTAAAAAGTTTTTTTTTACTAATCTATACAAATAAATAACATTGGAGTGTTTGTTTGTAATGTCAAACTAATAGGTTTTTTCATGCTCACACGGTTATTTGAACGATACCTATGCCTAAAAACCAGTTAAAATATTTTTTGTCTGTCTGTCTGTTTCTTCCGGGAATCTTCAAAACGGTTGGACCGATTTGGATAATATTTTACTGCCAGGTAAAATACTATCTTGTGACTGTTAAGTTGCAGGTGTCCGTTGGCGGGCGTAGTTGCTTACCATCAGGTGACCCGTCTGCTCGTTTGTCCTCTTATGCCATAAAAAAGGTAGCTGTCTATGTAAGGAGTAACTTAGGCTATTTTTCCTTTTAGAAAAACCTTATAAAATTTAACCCGGGGTATCGAACCCGAGGCCTCAAAGGTACTACACCACTAAGGCAGCGCCTTTCAAATTCCAAGCGAACGTCGCGTCGCGGGTACCAGCTAGTTAAAAAAAGAAAGAACGACCAGGATGTGACACAGACATTAATGTTTTCCTAACCAGCAAAATTGTGAACATAAATATAAGAACCGCTTTACAAATAAAAAAAAACATACATTGTTTATTAACATAGTAAGGTTTATTTCATTATTTGTATTAATGCGATGTAAAAGGAATTATGTTAAGTGTGCACCGTTGGCTATTGTATAGATGTTGATAAAATTTCATTGATATAATCCCTGCCACGTTTAATTAAGATTGTTTCATTATTATTGAGCGCAATCAACTCTGTGTTAAGTACACTCTATTTCATATAATTTACATAACACAATATAATAAATAATTTAGAATAAAAAATGCATAAGAAGATAACAAGCATTAAAAGTTAGGACATTTGTTAAAAAATCTAGAAAGATGTATTTACCTATATTTTGGCTAAAACCATTAAAGACAAGTCAATTTGAATATTAAATGTTCTAAATTAATTTGATAGATACTTGACTGTAATATTATACAATGTAGCTAATTAATAACGAGAATTAAGCGAACGGTTAATTCGTTAACATATCAGAGTATTGTCTAATGTAACAACACATTCTATTTCGACTAGTCTTCGTTAAATTGTCTAAAACTTTTTGATGGATTAGTTGCTTAGTACGAAAATTATATTATTTGTTAATTTGTTTAACCTGTGATCGTTTGACCGAGTTAATGTATAAAATAAATAGTTTAAATTAAAATTGCTTGCCAAACGTCCGAATCTACAAGATCACATAAAGCAAATATAATATTTTTTTGAATTGAAGATAAAATTTAGATTATTATCAAGCCTCATGGTATAGTGAGACAAAGATCTTTAGGAGTGTGCCTAAAAGTGAAACTATGACCAAATGTCTCTTGTGACGAAATCGATTTTGATCGATCATAGACATACATTCTATACCGTTTTTTACCCAGCCATTTTTTGCCCTGGTATTTACACAATAGATTTGTGTTTCATTGTAACCTATCTCACTGCTGTTTTATCAAATCTTTTGCAACCATCACTTTGACAACATACCATATTTTTATTTCTTTACTGTGACAAAAATATGTTTCGCGGGCTACAAGAAATATGGATGAGCATAGAAATATAAAAGTTATCACCTCCTTTATGGTATTTTTTTATCAGTTCTATTCTATTGTCAATTCAAATATATGTTTTAATGTTTTTACTAACTAACAACACAGTAAATCTCACGAACACTTCAAAAGATCCTTTTCGCACTATAATTATGCGTATAGCATACGAGTATGTATGTACTTATACATATTCCAAATCTTCCTATCCTATCTTCCTGATACATCATACATTGTGTTTTTATATCTTCTAACTGCATCTACGTTCTACAATCAAAAGCGTTCCATTTACCATTTTGTTCAAAAAATCTACATACCGGTTTCTCCAGTGGTGATGACGGCTGGTGCTGAAGGCGGCCCTCGCCCAATGTTATTTACAGCGATGACATACATTTCATACTCCGTGTAGGGTGATAGATTTGTCACTGAGTAGTACTGAGTAATCACTCCGGAGATCTCGCTGAATGCCTGTTTTTAGGAATTTTGTTGTAATTGATGTAAAAAAATTGTTTAGCTGAGATGTATTGGATATACAATATGTAGTATATATAGGTGTATCCAGCGTTTGGCTCAGAGATAATTGGCAATTTTTTTGCACCCCAAACCCCTGTAATGGTGCTGCAAACTAGGGAGTATTAAAACAAAAAAGCCGGTTCAATAATTTGTTTTTTTCACATTGACTTCCGCACCCATGGATATACTATTATTTAACATATAAGTATAATATAATAATAACATATAAATACATATAATAGCATTTAGGTTAGATGAATGTGAGACAGCTTAGTTACAAGTAAAAGAAACACACTAACCTGATTAGCGTATTTGGGCTTGTACTGTATGACGTAGTACTGAGGCTCCTCAAGTCCATTGTAAGTCCACGTCAGCCGGACAGTAGTCGCGGTGATTTCTGATGGTCTTACTTCCGTAGGCGGGCCAGGTAATGCTAGTCACATAAAGAACAATTAATACAAAGTTGTGTTTGGTCAACACAACAAATACCATTACATGTGTGCTGTAATAATTAGAAATATGTTTAAATAAAAAGAAAATAAAATGTTTCATTACATTCTATGTTGTTTGCGTAAGGCTTAAGCTGAGTTTAAGTTTTATTTATAAAAAAATAATCACGGCCCACGTTAATTACTAGAGCAGTTGCCGGTGTCTTTAAATGGTAGCCACACTGGTAGCGACACATTTCGTACCTACATTTCGAACCTTATCAATCATACAAGGTTTTGGCAATCCTAATAAATATTAGCCAAAAAACTATAAGTATTTTTGCACAAATACATGGAAGACCGCGCTAAACCGTGATCTTCTGTAGGATAGAAAATTGTTCACTACTCGGGCGATTCAAGGAATTGTTTCTGTGAAATGCTGCCTTCTCTAAAACTATTACTAAATCGGGCATTAGGTTACCCTTGGAGAATATTGAAATTGGCAAATTATTTGAAACATAATATTTGAGATTTCCAACGGTTTCCCAGAACGCTCATTCCCAAGATAGCTGATACACTGCCGTTTCTTACGTATTGGAACAAATACCAAATGAAATGTTCGATCACCAAACGCATCAAACAGTTTATTCCCTCTGAAATTAAATAGATAAATGTTGCCAACAGTAACAATACTAATCATTAATCAACTGACATTCGTTTGTCTCCCGGGTCTCGCACAACTTTTCAACCCTTTCAATTATGAATTATAACACTAATTCATAATGGATGTCTTCTCGCCTTGCCGCAATTTATCAAATTGATTTTCGTAAATCCCTCTTTCCACCTCAGTGAAGTTATTACCATAAATTTGCAACAGTTATCCCAAGAAATTATGAGTGTAATTTGATTCAGTCACTCAGCTAGACGAATAAGACGTTCGGGCGAAATGGCTTGGATTCATTGCTAGATTAATATGTAGATCAATTAATCATCATCAATTTGTATGAAATTATTAAACAAATCAATCAATAAATGTTATTATGTTAAATTATATTTATGTTAAAAAATGAAGACATTTAAATTAATGCATTAAGTAATTAAACACCCTAGCTACCTAAAAACTTTAACGCAGTAATTTTATTTCTACTCCATCTTCGGTTGTAGGAAAAGAAACTCAAATTCCAAAACAGAAGTCTTTAAAATTTGAGACGTTTATGAATTAGTCGTTCGTTTCTTAAATTTGTGTTCTGGAATGGGAAGTTTAAACATTTTGGGTGTCCTAAATTCTTCTGCTTTAAGTAATGCTTTAAGATTAGGCCTAATCTAAGTGATGTGAACATGAGGAAGTACGAGAAGATGGTAAGAAAAAAAAAGGCTTAAGTATACATATATATGTGTAAAGAGTTTTGCAACATTATATGTTCAAGAAACTGAAAAAAAATACTTACACTGTACTTTAACTTCTGCAACGGCCTCGATGACTCCAAGAGCGCTAGTCGCCTCGCAGGTGTAATTGGCAGACTCCCGTATATCTTCTAGCTTGAGAGTATTCAGGCCGAGTGGCGGGTTATCTTCGGGTGTCAGCCATTTTGTTAATCCTAATGTAATAGTTACCACAACAGTATTAGTCATATGATCATAAACCTAAATAATAAAGAATGTAATATGTCTGCTATTATTACTGTAACAAAATAAATAATTTAGTCAGATTTTACATTAAAAGGGATTTTCGTTTTGAATTTTTTTATTTTATAATTAATTATTTTCTCAAAATTTTCAAAATCGCGTAAAATAAAAAAGGTGCCTCCAGTTTTTAAATAACACTTTCTTATCAAAAAAAAATTATAGACATAAAAAGCCACCAATTATGTTTTATAATATTTCACATCGGCAGTTCGAAACATATCGATTAATCGAGTCATGGAAATGTTATATAGAGTTGGGGCACAGTAACTGTTACTCCTAAACACAGGCAACTTAGTTGCCTATCTAGGAGAACAACAAACACTCCAAATAATTATAGCCTAAGTCATATAATTAACTATTATTGTTACCTATGTAAATGTAGTTGTAAAACCTTACTCTGAAATAAATAAATAAACTGTAATATAAGATACGAAAGTTGAAATCTCTCCATACTAAAATACTTCTAGATTTTGTTGTATTCAAGTGCACTCACCTTTCCTCCATTTGACAGTTGGCATCGGCGATCCGAAGGCGACACACTTGAGAGTAAGGTTCCCGCCCAGCATCACCTCCGACTTTGGGGGCGGCGGTATTGAGAATTGAGGGGCAACGCGTCTCACTGCAGACAATTTTTTATTTAAATGAAAATGATTAAAGAAACGCACGGTAATATTCTTGAACTTTTGCAACTTTTGCACTGACAATGACTGGCTTGTTGGTCTAGTGGTTACTGACCCTGACTGCTGCACCAGAGGTCATAGGTTCGATTCCCACTCAGGACAAATAACTGTGTGATGAACATGGTAATTTGTTCTGTGTCTGGGTGTACTTTATCTATAATACGTGTATGGATTAAGAAATATATAAGTATGTTTATCAGCAGTCTGGTTACCATAGTACAGGCTCTGCCTAGTTTGGGATCGGGCGGCTTTGAGTGAGATGTGTGAGGTGTATTACTTTTTAGGCTTATTATTGTGTTGAAATAAATATATTTATGTAGTATGGCGACAACCACAATTAACATATATTGAGACGAAAGCAAGACCAGGGATCGAAGATCAATACGCCTCGTTATTATCTCACTTATGAAAGTTGAAGTTTCTGAGAATTAATCATTTCTGAATATTACATATTCAGTACTAGCTTTTGCCTGCGGCTCCGCCCGCGTGTATTTTGGTTATCGCGGTATAAAGCTTATGCCCTTTCTCAAGAATCAAAGTATCTCGACAGCTACACTAGACAGACAGCTACTTTCGCATTTATAAAATATTACTCTCTTAAGGAATCATTTTGGGGATAAAAACTAATCTATATCCTTCATCACAACTCAAACTATCTTCATACCCAATTTCATTTAAATCGGTTCAGCGGTTATTGATTCTCACTAGAAATTTCCACTCCAATTTTCACCCCCCTAAGAGTGATTTTTGGTATAAAAACTATCCTATATCCTTTCCAGGGACTCGAATTATATCATTGCCAAATTTTATTTAAATCGGTCCAGCGGCATAAGCGTGAAGAAGTAACAGACAGATAGACACACTTTCGAATTTACAATACTCGTATTATACGAGTTTTAGTTTAGAAGTATGGATTGCGTAAGGCGAGATCCTACGCCTATCTAATTGTATTCAGTTCACGGATCACCACACCTGCGAGGCAATCAAGTGTGGGGATGTCAACGCATGGAAACATGATTATGGGCTGTTAGTCAACACTGAGGGAGGTGATACACACCAGTTTAGTCACGCGAAAACGCACCATTTGAACTGGGTCCAAGTCCGGAGTTCGCAAATCCATTATTTATGTCCAACAAACACAGAATTCGTGTAAGAGGTGCTGGGTGGTAAAGTTATTGGTGAAATCATTCACCACCATTCGAATAACCAATAACCTCGGTTTACTCATTTTTTCAATTTGGTCACTTTATGAGCTGGCTAAAGGATAACGAGGAAAGTACATTGTGTCTTGTACCTTTTGGTTTTAAGATTTCTCCGAAATAGATTTATCAGTCATTATGTACACAAAATAAATGTGTCTATTTATATTATACGTAGTATAGAACTAATTATACAAGTTACTCTCGCTTAGTTGTTAGGATCAGTTACCAATAGATACAGTACGGACCAGTCTATATAATTAAAATGTAAACAACATCCTCTAATCTACAGGTAAAATTTTTTTTGCAGCGTCATAAACTAGAGTCATAACTCGCGCCCTGAGGATTAAGTACAAACTTAATTACATGGATAGATGCATCCAGGGAATCGTGAGTTTAATTAACTTCCCAAATTCTTAAATTATATCTAGTTAACGCTAGACTAACTTAAGTTTAACTATATTTTAAATGCAATTTTCAAATACAGTTAAAATAATAGATTTTTGCTGTACGTTATGTTGCCTAGATTTAAAAAAAATATAATGCTATTTTGACTGGTTTGTTGCTCTAGTGGTTAGTGAACCTGACTGCTAAGCTAGAGGTCGTGGCTTCCCCCTCTAATGCTGGGGAGTGCACACAAAGGGTGGCACCGCATTTGCATCTCTTGGCCCATGTCCAGCAGTGGCTGTTAATGATGATGATGATGAAATGTGTACGCCGTATTGAATCCCGTTGAGTTACAAACATACCATTTAGAACAGAAGTGTCAAACGTAGTTAACAAGGTCTGTCCTTTAAATCTCATGGCCCACCACTATTCATTTCCTACATCTCTATATATGCGCCTTTATTACACTTATAACCTCCTGACCCCAATAAGTAGGAAAAATATTATTTATTAAGTACTAGATCTCGTAGGGTTTCCGCGTAGTCAAGGCCAATGTGAATTTATTGAGGAAACTTGAAAGTATTTTGTTCAAGTTACGCTCGTGATTTACGTTTAAGAGAAATATAGCGGTACGGTATGTTGTAAAGATGTTCAGATAACATACTTGGAAAATGGAAGTGTGGACTTTCTTTTCAGTGAGTTTTCGATGAGAGTCACAGTGAGAGTCAGTTTGTCATGAAGAAGATATAATATAAGGGGTAACTATATTTACCCAGTTTAGTATTAATTGACTGGGTTGTTGGTATAGTGGTTAGTGCCCCCTGGGCTCATCCAGAGTCGTGGGTTTAATTCTTACCCAGGTATAATAATTGTAGGATGACTACGATCATATGTTCTGTGCCTGGGTGTAATTCATCTATAATATGTATGTATTTAGAACAAGCTCTGTCTAGTTTGGAATCAGGTGGCCGTGTGTAAAACGTGTGAGGATTTTATTATTATTATTTTTTATTTTATTTTGATTTTGGGTCTACAATGTATTTATTGCTTTATAATTAGTCAAGTATTCATTAAATAAAAGTCAAAGTTATTGAAGCTGAAGATATTGAATATGAGAAAAATAAAAGTTATTATATTGAAAAGTGAAATGTAAAATTCATAATTCAATAAAACAATTGTGACCGCTCTTCGAAACATTATTCTATATTATTTAATGAGCTTACGGCTACAGTACAAGTACGTTAGTAATTCAGGATATGAAATGCCAATAACAAGCTACTACAGATAGGTAAAAAGCAGAGGAGAGACAGCTTTCTTTTTTATTAATTGAGTATTTGCCTAGTTAATTTGAACTAGAGTAGAAACGGCTGACATTATTTAGATTTGCCAATTTGATTTTAAATATTAGAAATTTATTAATAGTAGATTAGTAGCCAAGGGCTGTAAGGCATCAATTGCAGCATGAGATATTTAGGCGCACGAGCGCAGCGAGGGCGCCTATAGTTCGAGGGTGCAAGCTAATTATTCTGCATTACATTCTACATTACACCCGAGCTAATTATTCTGCTTTACATCTCGATTGTGAGGTAAGTAGAGAAAAAACCGGCATTACAAGAATAAAACATTTTATTTGTTGAAATTTATTTGTTGAGAACAATTTTCAAATTTTAAGGACAGGTGTTTTTTGGGAAAGAAAGAAAGAAAAAACATGAGTTCTTCAAGTGATGAACACTTGAAGAACTCATGTTTTTTCTTACCTAATTAGCACGTAATTATAAAATAATCCCAAAAACAATCAATTTTTAAAGTAAAAGTTTTCTATTCCCGTCTTTTTTCATTAAAAAGAATCAAGTAAAGAACTTTTTAAGTTTTTTTTTCAAGATCGAAATTGAGCTCCGCCGTTCGATATTTAACATTGATGACTATTATACTCACACGAAGACAAGGCTGAATAGCAAAGCGACCTCTTTGGTCATTGGGCTGAATGCATGATGTCTATTGCCAGTATGATGGTTAGATGTACGCGAACTTTTTGAAAGAAAGAAGTGTTTTTTTTTAATTACTTACCGCCCTAGGGCTTTTCTAGCTACATTATTACCCTAGAGCGCTAATTAGTCACTTACAAGCAACATTTGGAGGTAATAAGAACCTACTTACCGAACATGAGAGATGTAAAGTAATATTATTTCCTACGTTCACAAGTTTTCTATTATTGGAACGAAATTCCTTATCGTTACACGCTCTGAGCGGCTGGGGGCTAGACCGAAAAATGTGTAACAAGACTTTTTGTCGACACTTATTGCTATAGTACGCACGCACTTACTTAGATCTAAACTAAGGAACGGATTTCAATGCGGTTTCCACCATGCATAGTACATGCATATTACAGTAGAGAAAATCCAAAAATTTCAAAGATTTGTGATATACAACGTGTTTTTGTGCGCTTACATTGCAAACGCTGGCTTTTTACGAGAAAGACAAAAATAATGTACCATCGAGTTGTATATATTTAAAAGATCTTCAAAAAAGTCCGCGATGGTATACGTCTATCTCCTAAGAATAAACCACAGTAACCATTTTTATCTTTTAAATTTTACAAAAAAAATATGGCTTATTTACGAAGCTATTTTAAAGAATATATTATTATTCCTTATCCAATTAAATACGTTAGATACGTTGTGCATTTAATGTAGATTAAAATTGCTTCACACAGCATATCATTAATATGTATACTTTAGAAGATATTAGAGGTTTAAAATGCGGCAAAGTTGCCGTCGCCGCATTCGCCGTCGGGCCGTACGTCCGTCCCGGGTGGCAACGGCCGACAGGAACAGAGCGGTATAATTACTAGCCATCCGCCCAGGCTTCGCTTGGAATGTAGATGCTACTAATACTACTAATGTAGTGTCAGTGTGGAGTAATAAATTATACTATTATTATGATTGGACTATACCACAGGACATCTTTATATGCAATATTTATAGGCTCGCTCCGATTCTGTCTGCTGCTGCTACTCGGGATGATAAAAGATAAAAATGTTTACTGAGCATATTACGTATTAATATAATACATTCCCAAAATAATCCCATAAATAAAAACCATGTTTTATATTCCTCTACATTGTTATTTCATTTCTATTCTATATTCTCTTCAATTTATAACTCTACTATTAAATGGTATTCCGAGGTTTCAACTTCTTCCTCTTACTTTGTTCTTAATACTCGAGTAAGTAGCACTAAAATAACATTGACGTCAATTTTACTCCGTGTAGTCTGGAATAGAACACTACATTATAATGCCACTGTATCCTTTAGATATTAAGAATTTGAGTGCAATCTGTTTGTTCAATTAAA